TCAGTCTAACTAATATAGTATCTAAATTGTTAGCCTCGATTATACTTAGACGTCTAACTAGAGCTCGTGAAGAGCAGACTTGAGAAAACCAGTACGGTTTTCGACCTGGACGTGGCTGTATAGACCACATCTTGACACTACGACAGGTCCTGGAACACAGAAACACATTTAGGCGTCCTACAATAGTTGTTTTCCTGGACCTTAAGGCGGCATTTGACTCTGTGGATCGTGAGGTTCTGTGGCAGTGTCTGTCATTGAAAGGTGTACCAGAGAAGTACATAACCTTATACAAGCTTTCTACTGGAACACTACAGGTCGAGTGAGAGCTTATGGCGAACTGTCACCTGAATTCTCTACATCAAGTGGCGTCCGTCAGTGCTGTCCACTCTCTCCATTCTTGTTTAACTTTGTCGTAGACATTCTCTTAGAGTTACATAGTTCTATTCGGTGAAGAAGCAGACAAAATGCAGAGTATTCTGACTACCCTAAGCAACAATGCAAGCATGTTCGGGATGCGGTTTTCCGCCTCGAAATGCAAAATGTTGCTTCAAGACTGGGTTGCTTCGGCACCTGAACTAGTGATAAGGAGTGAAGTAGTCGAACGTGTTGATCACTTCACTTATCTGGGGAGTCTCATCAGTGCTGATAGCCTGGTGACTGACGAAATCTCAGCTCGGATACAGAAAGCTCGATTAGCGTTTGCCAACCTGCGTCACTTATGGCATAGGCGAAATATCCGTTCTCTGACCAAAGGACGTGTGTACTGCGCAGCAGTTCGCTCTGTCCTACTATACGAATGTGAATCATGGCCGGTGAGAGTAGAGGACATTTGTAGGTTACTAGTATTCTGTAAATTATTATTCTTTTCCATTCACAGAGTAGATAGATCCAATGGTTGAATAAACACAATCAATGGACTACCATATATTACAACCTCGCCACCGACTTGTTGTCAAATTTGTTCTTGATAAAGTAACAGAACAAAAATGAAACTATAACCATTCTACTTACTAACTTCACCACTATGGATAGGGATTTCAACCGACAGTTGAGTCTCTGTGTGTGTGCTAATGCAGTATGGCAACCTGAACTGATGTACGTAGGTACAAAGTTCTACGTTGTCGATGACTGACTGACTGGCCGACTGACTGCATGACCATTCGGTTAGAAACAATAATAATAATAATAATAAAACTTACTAATGGTAGAACACGTTCACGTTCAGCTGGATTACTGATCAGTTCACTCATGTGATGTGCAACTATCCATATAAAACAAAGAAAAATGAAAGGTGAAGTGAACAAAACAAATAATTATTACTGCATGTATATGTCAAAACTTATCCTGTAGAAAAGCAAGCAAACGAACAAACGAACAAACCAACGAACAAACAAACTAACTAACTAACTAAATTGAACATAGGAAATAGTGTATAAATAAATATCTATATAAATGTATATATAATAATTATGGTGTAATAAATAACGTGACATATATATATTTGATTGTAAAAATTGAGGTGAATTATTTGTAGTACAAGGACTAAGGGTATACGTATTCTGTATTACCAACAGAGCTATTGTGTTGAACAGTATAAAAAACTAGGTTTGCAGGAACAGTTAGGATTATTCATTGTATATAAGGTCAATATAACAACTGTGTTCTTCTTGTTCTCTTCGACACGATCAATTAATTAATAAATACAGAATGTAGATGTCATGTAAAGATTGATTGTCTGTGTGTTGTCCACTTATCAATCCCATCATTCCACGGAGTCAGTTAATCAATGTAAATTATTCATTAAACTAACCGATATATTACATAATCATTAATAAATACTACTACTAATACTGTGGTGCGCGCTACTTATAAGTAGTATATGACGTGAGTGTCAACGTAATGTCTGGCAGCAGAACATGGAGGAAGATCAAGAAAGGAAGAGTGGGAACACAATGGAATTTGTATGAAATGCATAAGTGAAATGTCAGACAATTGATTGAAGATTTGCAAATTAACGATTTACGATATGGTTTTCCTACTTTACTGAGCAACTCTGTAATTTTCTTTAAATACAATTCGGTTGCCCTCACCTGTGTTCTCCTTCACTACATTACTACTACTACTACTACTGATAAGTTCGTCACTTAGTATGCTTGAGGCTATTACGAGTATACTTTAGTTGGTAAACGCGAACGAGACTTTTACCAGCTTCCAGGGAGGCTACCTTGAATACCCAAAGTCGAAATAAAAGGCTTTGTAAGCGTAGAAGTATATTCTACAAACACCCAGCAATCACAGTACAATCAATCATACAACTCTCGTTTATTTATACAACGTGGGAACGTCCTTGAGACAGTTAAGAAAATAGCATACTAAAATACACAGCAGCCAATCACAGCCATGGATTTTCCTGGTGGGAATTGAAATCTCAAGGTCATCTGATCAGCCCATGCTGGCGAAACGTGAAAACCAAAATACGGCATTATCAAGCGAATTTTGGGGATCTAACATCCCCAACACTCCTCCCCTTTTTAATAGCGTGTTCTCCTGGGGTCGATTTGCATCTTGACTATTGTTCGCCGCTGTCTGAGGGGATACCTTCGGGAACGAAGAACAGCTTGCTGCCGAGTTTCTTCTCGTGGCGTGGCTCTCGGTAGGTTGAAGGTATCAAGCAAGATGTCAAGGGGAAGGCTTTCTGCTCTTGATGGGCGATGTGGGGCTAGCCGTCTGCGTATCTGATTCCGATGACGTGACCATTTATCACCTCCTACCTCTACTTCGTACATAACTCGACCAACCCTTCTGACCACTCTCGCTTCTACCCAAGGACCATGGTTCGTTCTGTAGTCGCGGGCAAACACAGGGCATCCTAATTCGTAGGCGGATTGTCTTTGCTGCTTTGTCTCTACTGATGAGGGTGCATTAGTCGGATGCATCAGGCTGTGGATCGTTTTCAATCTTCTTCCCATCAGGATTTCAGCTAGGCACTTTTGCTCCGGTAACAATTCATTTGGTGTTGTCCGATAGACGTACAAGAAATTTTGCAACGCTTCGGCTGGCGTCCCCTCCCCTTTTGACTTAAGCAGTGCTCTTTTAAACGTATCCACAAACCTTTCCGCCTGCCCATTCGATTGCGGGTGGTATGGTGGCGAGCGTAAGTGTTTAATGGCTAGCCGTTGACAGAAAGTCTGGAATTGGGAAGAGGTGAATTGAGAGCCATTGTCGGATACGATCATATCCGGTATGCCGTTTCGTGAGAAAATTTCAGAAAGGAGCTGTATAGTCTTAGTTGTAGTGGGCGGCATAACGGGGCTGATTTCCGGCCATTTAGAGAATGCGTCGACGACAAATAAATACATAGTTCCATTTATTGGACCAGCGAAGTCGACATGTATCCTGGACCAAGGATGCTCAGGTTTGGGGCATGAAACCGGCGGAATTTTGGCATTCATCTTTGCCGCCCGCTGACACCGCATGCATTTTTCAACCAACGCTGTGACATGTTGATCCATGTGAGGCCAGTATGCATAACTCCTGGCTATGGACTTCATTCGTTTAATCCCAGGGTGACCAAGATGGAACTGTTTCAGAACTTTTGCACGAAGGGATTCTGGAACCACTACTCTTTCACCAAACATGAGACAATCGTTCACGATGCATAGTGAATCCCGCCGCTGATACAGTTGCTTCATGTCACCTTCAAACTTTTTCGACGGCCAACCGTTAGTGACATATTTCATCATCATCTTGATGATGGGGTCGTTTCTAGAAGCATTTTGTATGTCTCTTGCAGACATTATCAAGCAGGCATTATCAAGCGAATTTTGGGGATCTAACATCCCCAACAACTACTACTACCTATAATGATTTGAAAAGTTGGCTAGTAGTATGATGAATACTTTTAAAAATAGTTTATAACAAGCGGTTGCCTAGAAGTTGTCAAAGTCAACATCCAAAAACATGGATTTCAGTAGCACACTGTGTTTCAAATATATATACATATATATACAGAAGAGTAATCGGGACATTGTAATCACAGTTTATGGAACATGTACATAAATGGCTTCAAAATCAGTTAACATGTCAGATGACCCCATAAACGAAGGAACTAGAAATAGTAGAAGTATTAGAAGTATAAGCAGCAGTCGGAGAGATTAGGGTTCCAAGGTATCATTCAAGAAGTATAATTCAGTGAGATAAATTTAGAAGGAGAAAGGTAGAGATGATGAGGAATTCAGAAGATTAGGATTTGAGAGAGAACATAAAGAGTCGATGCACCTGCGCCATTCCACACGATTTTGAGCCATGTCATTATTCAAGGTCTCTAACTATAACAATATAAAGACAGCGAGAGAGAGAGAGAGAGAGAAAGGAAGGAACTAAATGGCAGAACATTTCGGGAACATATAATAGCAACCAAAGTGAATATTTTCAATATCCGTATATAAATTGATTAAATCAAAACCAGTGAAATAAAAATATTAATCATTGAATAAAATTCTGTATATCACCTGCATAATGACCGGAACACGTGATTGTAGTTAGTTAGTTAGTTAGTACACACAGTATTGACATTTATTAAATAATATTCAGAAAATAATCCGATTTTTACAAGTGAACATAACGAATGGGTGTGTGTGGGTGTGTACTAGAATGCATAGAAAGGTTTAGTTGCGCTAGAAAAACAGGTGACGATAGGCTTGTTTTCAATAAATCATGTTATATATATAATAGAGAAATATAATAAATTTGGAGCTATCATGAATTTTAGAAACAGCTAGACAAGAGATGTTGTTTAGTGTCGAAGTTAGCTAGGAAGATAAATGCGACCAAACCAAAACATGATTGGAATCCATGAAGTGACTGACAACTGAACAGAGATGTTGCTAAGTGTAGACAACAACCATTTCTTTGGGGTCTACCAGACAATCGTTACCAGTGAATAGAGACTTTGAATGAAATGGGTCGAAATTGTTTTTAATTGCGCAGGAGAATCCATTTCTTTGACTTCTCTGAAATTCAAATTTTTTAAAATTCCACACTGACAGATTTTTTTTATCTCTTTCCAACTACCGTTAGTACTATTCAGTCAGTCAGTCAGTTGCAACGTAAGAACTTCGTACGTATGTACATAAGTTTATGTTGCCATACCACATTAGCACAGAGACGCAAATATCAAATCAAATCCCATAGTGATAAAGATAGTAGAGGTATTAATGTTATAATAAAGAAGACTAGGGTTTAAGATATTATTCAAAAAATATAATTCAGTGAGATAAGGTTAGAAAGACAAAGGTAGTGGTGCTGACGATTCCAGAAGATTAGGATGCACTTGCGCCATTGCAAACGATTTTGAGTCATGTCGTTCAAGGTCTCTAACCATTGGTGACTTTCGTCTCGTGGACCGCAACCAGGTAGTCTACATCTACCAACATAACTTAGTCCACTTGTCAGTGACTTCATGGATTTCTGCAATGTTTTGGTTTGGCCGCCCCTACCTTACTTCCAACCTATTCCTACACAACCAAACATAGCTCGTCGAGGCAGTCGGTGGTTAGGCATACGTAACGCATGTCCCAACCACCTCAACTGATGAAGTTTCACCACTTCATCTATTGATTTGCCATCCTTACCTAGAACTCGTTTCTTAACGACGGGCTCCCCAGATAAGTGAAGTGATCAACTACTTCACTCCTTATCACTAGTTCAGGTGCCGTTGCAACCCAATCTTGAAGCAACATTTTGCATTTCGATGGGGAAAGCCGCATCCCGAATATGCTTGCATTGTTGCTTATGGTAGTCAGAAGACCCTGAATTTTGTCAGCTTCTTCATCAAGTAGGGCTAAGTCATCGCCGTAAGCTCTCACTCGACCAGTGGTGTTCGAGTAGAGAGCTTGTATGAGGTTAATGTACTTCTCTGGTAGCAGCTTCGGTTAGTACTATTACTATGGTCAGTCAGTTACAACGCAGAACTTTGTACGTACGTTGCCAAGTTGCGATTACCACACACAGAGATCGAATTTTCAATTCAAATCCCATATTAGTAGAGATCGTAGAAGTATTAGCGGACGCCAACCAGGTAGTCTACAATTAACAATATGACTCAATCCAGTTTTCGGTGACTTCATAGATTTGTGCCATGTTTTGGTTTGACCGTCCACAGATTTCCCCCAACCTACTCCTACACCACAAAATATAGCTCGACGAGGCAGTTGGTGTTTGGGCATGGGACTTGAACTGAACTCACACACAAGGGAATCAAATCTATCAACAGTCTCGCGTGCGATCATTGGAAACTTTAGATCACTAAGCCTACACATCTAACGTTGTTTTTAATGTACAACTTTCAATGGTTAGTCTAACTACAATAAAATTTGTAATTTTAACTCTGAATATATATATATATATATATATATATATATATATATAATATATATGTATATATAATTAACATGAGAATATTTTCGAAATTGCCATTAACCTTAAATGACCTTTATCATCATTTAATGGAATGTAATTCACAAACTCAAACAAAATAACTCAATCATGTTAGATTGACAGCTAGATTCACAGTTCAATGGAATACATTTTGTGTGTGTGTTTAGGTAGAAAACGAAACCATAAAACAAAAATTCATGTTGAATATTTTATGATAATCATAATTACAAATTTACTAATTACGATACTCCGACTACTACTGTGGTGCGAGCTACTTATAAGTAGTATATGACGTGAGTGTCAACGTAATGTCTGGCAGCCACAGCCACATCTGTGTTCTCGTTCACTACACTACTACTCCAACTACTACTGTAGTGAAGGAGAACACAGGTGAGGGTAACCGAATTGTATTTAACGAAAATTACAGAGTTACTCAGTAAAATAGGAAAACCATATCGTAAACAGTTAATTTGCAAATCTTCAATCCATCATCAATCCATTGTCTGACATTTCACTATTCATGCGTTTCATACAAATTCCATTGTGTTCCCACTTTTCCTTTCTTGGTCTTCCTCCATCTTCTGCTGCCAGACATAACGTTTACACTCGCGTCATATACTACTTATAAGTAGCGCGCACCACACTACTACTATTGATGACGACAACATTTACACAATATGCAATGAAAGAGTTATACGCACAGTGATATTGATATATTTGATCATATAGATGAAATGTCGCGCGCACACACACACAAACACACACAAATTTTAGTAATTATTTACAAAATAGATTGACAAAAAAATAAAGATAATACAATTGTTCAAATTAATAAATGAGCATAAAATTAATTAGCCAGTGAAATATTGACAAATTTATAGCCTCAATATTAAAATAATTTACAATGTCGTAGAGCGGTCAAGAATGAACGCCATTATGGAATTTATACTGGTATTACTGTTCCAGCTTAGAGAATGAAAACACCATCATAATCATCCGCCTAAGCTACAAACTTTCTCCACCATCTCAAAGGTCTTTACTTTAATCATGGATTAGAATATCCATGAGGATCACATTAGGAGTATTAGCAGTAATGGAGACGAGTAAGGATCGAAGACATTATTCCAGAAGTATGATCCTAAAGCAATCACTAGTTACCATTGTTCCACAGAGCCCACAACCAGATAGTCTACATCTACCTAACATAGTTCAGTCCAGAAACGTCAATGATTTCATGGATTTCTGCCATGTTTTGGATTGGCCGCACCTAGCTTTCTTCCAACCTATTCCTACACTGCGAAACATAGCTCATCGAGGCAGTCGGTGGTTGGGCATACGCAACACATGTCTCAATTGATGAAGTTTCACTAATTCGTCTATTGATTTACCATTTCTTACCTAGTACCATTTTTCTAACACTAGTGTTGCTTACTCGATCAATGCTTCGAAGACACCTGCCTAAGACCCAAGTAGGTAGTCTACACCTATTAACATGGCTCAGTTCAGTTGTCGGTTTTGACCGCTCCCAATTTTCCATCAGCTTATTTAACTAGTGGTCACGAGTCAGGATAGGTGATTGATTGTTCGATAAACATATTACATATTTTAACTACTATTAACCGATGAAGATAAACGGCCTTGTAAATTGATTTGTAATTCTTACCTAGTACTCTACCTATCGCTGACTACATTCAACGATCCCAACCAACCGAATTGAAAGTGTTTGTGATTAAATATTAGTGGATGGACACCGTCTCAAAATATGAAACGTGTAATACACGCTAACCAGCCAAAACTAGCTAGTGGAGCGAGAAGGCTGAAGTGGAGGAGGAAGTTATCGAATCCTTCGCTCAATGATTCATGATATACATTCATTATTTAGGACATTTTGGACTACCATGGAATGTCCGTCGGATTGGTCCAGTATCTCACTACTACAACAACAACTACTACTCGCAGGTATCATGAAACAGCGAATCAAAGTACAAATCAAAACAAACAAACAAACAAACAAATTACATAATAAACAGATTAAAAAAAGAAAAACAAACTGAACACTGCAACTAACCTAATAATGAATCACAACCATCCAATAAATCCGCTTGAACTAATTCACGTGCTAAAACATCAGCAGAATCTAAACACGCACATAAATGAAGACAAAGAAAAGATCAATAAACACATGATCAACATTAATGTGACATTAAACAAATGTTTATTACTATACATGACTATAACTCTCTCTTAAGGTAGCCAAATGTCTCGTCATCTAATTGAATGGGTTATATTAGGTGACGCGCATAAATGGAGCCAACTGGGGATTGTGGTGGCGGCCACCTCTATTCGTGATCCTGCCAGGCAACGTGGCGTTGTTTACAGCGCTGTGGCTAAAAGCCGTTCAGAACGCTTAGGATACCGTGCCTAGCATGATCCAGGATAATGGCCATGGATGCGGTTAGCCACTCCAGGGGATTAGAACTGAACGCCTCTAGGTCTGAATCCCGTCGATCGAGCGTAGGTAAATTTGAAATAATAGGATATAGCTTTCCAGGATACTTGAAGGCGGCCCTAGACGATTTGTTTGGGGAAGTAGGCGTAGAGATCCTGGAATATTGACGCCGACCCTATGTGGTTGTCCCAAATACTCTGCATTTTGGTGTATTGTGTAAACCGGCGTCGAGGCCCCTTGAACAAGGGTCTCCAGTTGGGTTATGGGATCCAATGCTGACAGGGTACTGGACGCCAATGTTGTCTGCTCACTTATGTGGGATTAACCCTACTTGGTCGAGTGCTTGTGCTTAGTTTAGTACATGACATCTTACCCATGGGAGGGTGTACGTTCCGGCTGACCTTGTGGGACAAACTCGATCTTTAGCTTCATGCGGAGTCTGAGGGCTCCGATCGATTGTATCAGTACAAGTCAGTTGGAGGCCAGACGGTTGGAATGACTGCTGGTTAGTGCACTGCTGGGTGGCTCTATCCGTTTGGGGCGCCACGTCTAACTGGAAAGCCGACCTTTCAGATTGGGGATTGTGGGTAGTGTGGATTGGTTGGAGGGATCTTGTTGGTTCATAAGTGCCCGAACGGGGGCCACTGCTCGTGCGCGTGCTTTTTGGACGTCCACTTGTCTGCAGACCAATCTAGACAACATGTACGTTCCCTTATGGGGCAGGGGTGATCGCAATATTAGCTCTTGTGAGAATCCTTGTGTTGCTTAAAAATGCAGCGGCATGCATGTGCAGCAAGCATGATGGTTAACCAAGAATATTATTGTAAATGAAATAACAAGAAAACAACAGACAAATACACTTTTCGTTGATACAGGAAGAAGTAAGGTTGCGCGAATTTCAGGGATTGGATCAAAGTGGTCCAGAGATTGGGTGTTCTCACGCGCTATACAACAAAGGTCTTGAGTTCGATTCCTACGGCGAGGGTCGTGGATGCTCATAACATACTAGGGATGAAACGGCTATACAGTGCTTCAAGGTTTCGAATGGTAGGGTCTCTAGCAATGATCGATTTATGGTCGCAAGAAAACTGAATAATCTCTATAACCCTATGACGAAAAATACGCTTTTCTTGACAGAGTAAGTCATGAAATGCTTCGGGAAATGACTGACAACGGCGTTAAGTGATTATCGAGCAAAGACTCAGTTTACCAAGTAATCGGTGAATTTGAATTACATTGTTCTTGTGTTATGGGGTTAGCAGTAATGAATATTATGTAATTAGACAAAAATGAAGTGTGTGACAGGGTTCGGAGCTTCGGATCAAATGATTGATAAAAGATAGTGAAGTAATTTAAATATGAAGACCATCATCTCATATTTTTATATTTACTAAGGAGACTCAATATTGAGTTCACTCTTGATATTTTGAGAAATATGACGATGGCGTAGATAGTTTAATTGATAAACTATGGCAACACAAAAGGTATACATATTAGACGAAGTTTGTCTTTCTTTGTGAAAATGACCCCAACCAAGTAGCCTGCACCTACCAACATGACTCAATCCACTTGTCAGTGATTTCATGGATTTGTGCCATGTTCTGGCTTGGCCGCCTCTAACTTTGTTCCAACCTACTCCTAAACCACAAACAATCGCTCATCGAGGCAGCCGGTGGTTAGGCATACGCAACACGTGTGCCGACCACCGCAACTGATGAAGTTTCATTACTTCATCTATTAGTCTATCATCCTTACCTAGAACCCGTTTCCTAACGATAGCGTTGCTTACTCGGTTGTCCCAATGTATACGAGCAATGCTTCCAAGGCACCAAGGATCGGATACTAGTAACCTATGAATATACTCTGCTGTTACTAGCCATGCGATACAACCATAAAGTAGGACGGAGCGAACTACTGAGCAGTACACTCGACCTTTGGTTAGCAAACGGATATATCGCCTACGCCATAAATGAAGCAAGTCGGCAAAAACAAATCGAGCCTTCTGTATTCGTGCTGAGATTTCGTCAGTCACCAAGCCATCAGCACTGATCAGACTCCCGAGATAAGTGAAGCGGTCTACAAGTTCGGCTACTTCACTCCCTATGATTAGTTCAGGTACTGATACAACCCAGTCTTGAAGCAACATTTTGCATTTCGAGCGGGAAAAGCGCATCCTAAATATGCTTGCATTGTTGCTCAGAGTAGTCCGAAGACTCTGCATTTTGTCAGCGTCTTCACCAAATAGGACTATGTCATCAGTATGTTCTAAGTCAGCGAGCGCGTATGCTGATAACAAAAGAGGAGCTAACACTTAAAAAAAAACTTCTCATGGTATTAGTAGCTTTATCTCACAGAAAAGCACCATGCTAAACGAAACTCTAACCAGTAATAATTATTTAAACACCAAGTAAATGGTCAGACACATTGAATTACCGTACTAATAAAACACTTCAACACCAATCTAATGTCACATATTTTTTATTCTGTACATCTAAAATCACTATGTCGATTAGCCAACTCGCCATAATGCCTGAAAAACTGGCATTATTATTTTTAGAAATGAAAGGTTCTTGGGGTGAGAATTTAAGGATTATGTCAATTCGCCTGTTGTATACACTACCAACTTATCGAGACAGAAATGGAGCATCTGTTGTTACATGTAACAAACAACATGAACGACATGAACATTTTGAATGTTTCGACGAGTACACAAAGCTATTTTCTATCGTTTGTGTTAAATGATATTTAGAAAAATTCGCTTCACCTCCTCTATACCATATTTTTTTTACCAACAATGAGAAAAAAACTTAGAAAATAAAACTAGAAATTTCAAACAAGAGTGTGTACAACAGCAGCACAATGTGTTATGCAATCATTAAACAACCACGAATCTCAGCACGGATGATACAGAAGGATCGATTGGCTTTTGCCAACCTGCGTCATTTATGGAGTAGGCGAGATATTCGTTCTCTGACCAAAGGACGGGTGTACTGTGCAGCAGTTCGCTCCGTTCTCCTATATGGATGCGAAACATGGCCGTTAAGAGTAGTAGATGTTCGTAGGTTATTGGTTTTCGATCATAGGTGTCTTCGAAGCATTTCTCGTATATCGTGGAACAACCGAGTAAGCAATGCTGTCATTAAGAATCGGGTACTAGGTAAGAATGGCATATCAATAGATGAAATGCTGAAACTTCATCAGTTGAGGTGGTTAGGACATGTGTTACGAAGGCCTAACCACCGACTACCTCGACGAGCTATGTTTTGAAGTTTAGGAGTAGGTTGGAATAAAGTTAGGGGCAACCAGACCAAAACATGGCATAAATCCATGAATTCATTGACAAGTGGACTGTTTCATGTCGGTAATCGTCGACTACCTGGTTGGGGTCCGCGAGATGATAGTAATCGATGGTTAGAGACCTTGAATGACATGGCTCAAAATCGTTTGCAGTGGCGCCGGTGCATTTATGCTTTGTGTTCTCTCAAATCCTAATCTTCTGGATTCTTCAACACCTCTAGTTTTGACTTTCTAAACTTTTCTCACTGAATCATACTTCTTGAATCATATCTTCTAATCCTAACCTCTCCGATTACTTCTAATACCTTTACTACCTTTACTACTATTGGATTTGAATTGACAATGACATCTCTGTGCTAATGTGGTATGGTAACATGAACTGATGTATTTACGTACGAAGTTCTTTCTACGTTGCAACTGACTGACTGACTGACTGACTGACTGTAACAACCATGGCATACAATTAGAGAGTTCTGAAGTGTGACAACACCTAACAATTCATGTGCATTCCATAGATTGAGCTTACACAATCTTGACATTCACTTGTCTAAGTGAGTTTTGATAATAAAAAAAATAACTAGTAATAAATAGATTGAGCTAACTTTGGATTCTTCCGGCCTATTCTACCCGCATGACTTGTGCACACTTTGTTTATCCTTGTCAATTATTCACTTCAAATCTTGGTTGTGTTTTTATTTGAGTGCGTATGTGCGCACTGTTTACTTCACTTACTATAATGTTCAGATTCATTCTATCTGATTATAAATACTTAGTCATGCCTCATCATTGTTGAGTTAGAGGGTTAGTCACCTTTTTCGCATTTGTATTTCCATGTCTGCCTGCATGAACGATGATTGCATGCAACAAACTCATCCAACTGAATTCGTACTCGGCTTCTTATTACCACCGTTACAAAAACAGAGTTCGCCTAAGCATACATGATATAGGGAGGAAATCGATGAGAAGATTTATATCACAACATAGTTTAGTCGTTCATCCAAATTGGAGTCAGATTCTGCCATCCTTACCTAGCATCCATTTCCTAACAACAGCATTGCTTACTCGATTGTTGTGGTGGTGTTTCGTTTTCTGAGCTGGTTGTTTTGGTTGTGGAGCTTTCATTGTTCTTCTGAACTACATCATCAGAACGAACTTCAGATAGAAGTGAAGCATTAGAATCTCTCCACGTTTGACCTGTAGTTTGTTCTGCTAACCTCGATCTTGATTGGTTGTTGTTGACCTTTGACCTGTCGTTGTTTGCAACTATGTTTTGATTGCCTCCCTCTTTTGATCTGTTTCTTGATCCAGTGTCACCTATGATTCTCCTGATTGGTTGATAAATTGGGTCAATGTCGATGTGTTTGTTGATTGCTAATTGCTAATTACTCGATTGTCCCACGATACACGAGCAATGCTTTGGAGGCACCTATGATCAAAAACCAGTAACCTACGAATATCTTCTACTCTCATTGGCCATATTTCACAGCCATATAGGAGAACGGAGCGAACTACTGCACAGTACACTCGTCCTTTAGTCAGCAAACGGATATCTCGCCTACGCCATAAGTGACGCAGGTTGGCAAAAGCCAATCGAGCCTTCTGTATCCGTGCTGAGATTTCTTCAGTCACCAGGACTTCAGCACTGATCAGACTCCCGAGATAAGTGAAACGATCAACACGCCCAACTACTTTACTCCTTATCACTAGTTCAGTTGCCGATGCAAGCCAATCTTGAAACAACATTTTGGATTTCGAAGGAGAGAACCACATCCCGAACATGCTTGCATTGTTGCTCAGGGTAGTCAGAAGAAGAAGAAGAAGAATCTATTCTCATAGAATATATCAGATCACGTATTAATTAATGTATAATTGAAAAGGGGGAAAAACAAAAGAAACACAATGGCAAACCAAACTCACCTTCTCCTGGAACATAATTGAAACTGATATCTTGTAGTTCATTATTCTGTTTTGGATTACGTTTACGCAATGTTATTCGATAGCATATACCACTGCCAGATGGCTAAAATCAATGGGAAAATTTATTTGGTGAATAGATTGAAAGCATAAAGTGAATTTTATTAAATAGAAAAAAAGTTCTACAAAATATATAATAAAGAAATGTTGGCAGTGAATATATACTAGTCTCAAATTGACCAGTAACGAACGATATAAACAAAACTTATCATATGGACACATAATAATAATGAAGAGGATTTTCATAGGAATCTTGTTTGATGTTGGCCATCCTCTTCCTCTCTCTAGTGCACCACCACAGTATTGAAAAAAAAGCCTACATCATGTTATCCTGTCCATCACTGCCAAATGCTTTCAATTGATTGCTACACAATAAATAATCTGCAGTGTCACTATTCGATCCGCGTATGATCGATCATTCAGTAAAACTATCAATTTTAATGTTAACTGTAATAGTTTGAAATATTCGATTGTTGATATTTTAACAGAAAATCTAATTAGCTCTAGAGATAAATTACAGCCATTATGATTAAAAGTTTATAATAAATAGTGCGATTCTCTCCATTAAAATGCAAAATGTTGCTTCATGATTGGCTTGTGATCGCACTTGAACTAGTGGTAGGGAGTGAAGCTGATGAACGTGTTGACCGCTTTACTTATCTTGAGAGTCTCGTCAGTGCCGATGGCCTGGTGACTGACGAAATCTCAGCACGGATACAGAAGGCTCGATTGGCTTTTGCCAACTTGCGTCACTTATGACGAAGGCGAGATATCCGTTTGTTGAATAAAGGACGAGTGTACTGCGCAGTTGTTCGCTCCGTCCTACTTTATGGCTGTGAAACATGGCCAGTGAGAGTAGAAGATATTCGTAGGTTACTGGTTTTTGATCATAGGTATCTTCGAAGCATTGCTCGTATATCCTGGGACACCCAAGTGAGCAACGCTGTTATTAGGAAACGGGTGCTAGGTAAGGATGGCAGGTCAATGGATGAAGTAGTGAAACTTGTTATCATTGCTAACCTTCTCATCAGGCGAGGTGGTTGGGATGTGTTTTGAGCATGCCTAGCCAATGACTACATGGACGAGCAATCTTTTGTGGCATAGGAGCAAGTTGGAAGAAATCTAGGGTTTGCCAAAACAAAAATATGGCACCAGTTCATAAAGTCCCCATCGACAACTGGAATGAGCCATGTTAGTAGGTGTAGACTACCTGGTTAGGGTGCGTGAGACAATCGTAGCCGGCAGTTAAAGAGTATAAATGACATACATGGCTCAATATCGTTTACAATGGTGCAGGTGCATCTCTATTCTTTGTGTTCTTTCAAATTCTACGCTTCTGAATGCCTCATCACCTTTATCTCTATATTTTTTTAAAATTGATTTCACTGGATTATATTTCTTGAATTATTTACTCCATCCCTAATCTTTTCCATTAATTGGAATGACATTTTTATCTCTGTATGTTAATGCAGTATGGAAATTTGAACTGATGCTTATATGTATCGATCAAGTTATACATTGCAACTTAGTAACTGACTTTTAATACAATTCCAATTGAAATCTTTCAAACAAATTTATAAAAAACATACATAATAAATAATAAAAATTATTATTATGATAATAATCTGATTGTGACCGATTTGGACTCGTGTGCCGGATACACGAAGTGTAAATCGAGTTGCTTCTTTATCTTGGCATGGTGAGGTCAAGTGAATGATTAAGGAGACCAGGAACGACGTTTCACGAACTCGCATCGTTTGCTGATAAAGGAATGTGGGAAGAGTTAGTCGTGGAGATAATGGAGGTACTAGGGGGTGTAGGAAGGATTTGATTGTGACCGATTTGATCTCGTGTGCTGTTATGGGTATTGAGGCGGTTATCACTTCCCGGCTGCCCACACCGTGGAAGGTTGCTTCTTGAGGAACCTGAAAAGGAAGGTAGATTAGCGTTGGTCTGAGCGACCTGGCAGCGTGACGACAGAGCTCAAGGGACAACTGCTTGAGGCCGGTCACGCACGGCCTTTTTATGGGTAGTATTTAAAGTGTTAGCTCCGTTCTTGTTTAAAAGCCCCTACCGCCGGAGACGGAAATCCGTGAGGTAAGGTGAGGTGTGACATTTTTAGGGTCGACCTTTTCTAACCCCTTCCCTCCTTGTGAAAAGGCAGTATGGCTGCAGATGCTGGTTATCCGAGGGAAACACCTTACTGCTGTCACAACCCTCTCTACAGTTAGCAGTACGACTTCGCCCTCAGACCTTGAGCAGCTGCTTTTAGGCTCACTATTTTTCAACCAATCTGTCTCGCATGGTAGAACCTACAGGAACACGTGTTCCAGCCAATATAGCTCGGTTAGGTCACCAAGATAGGCAAGCCCGACCACTACGTGAAGGTGGCAGCTACGGTAGGGAATAATAATAATAGTAATACGTAATATTACTACTCAGAATAATAATTACAACTTACAGCATCATTTGTTTGAGATTGTTGTAATTGTTCATGATTAGGATCATCCGTTGTTGTTAAAGTACTTCCAAATGCTGCAACCATAGCACTAATTGAATTAGCTGCCTCTGGTGAAGCCGGTGTACATGCTGGAGCTGGTGGAAATGATGATGACGATGAACCAGACACTTCAATATGATCTGTTCTATCTAAATGAGGTGTATTACTACAACGTGGACTAATACCACCCATGTCAACTGTTGATGTAGCCGGCAATGTTGTATTAGTAGTAGTAGTTGTTGTTGTTGTTGTTGATGATGATGATGCAGTTGGTGGTAGGGTTGTTGCGCCTGGTGCAAGTGCATTAGATGAGCCGATTAGAGCAGTTGCATTAGTTTGAGTTAATAATTCCGATGGAAAATCAAATCCACTAGATGAATTAGACGATTGTGACGGGAGTACACGATCAGTAGTGTTAGTATATGCAGGCATTTTATAATCATTCTCATCACTATCCTCATCGCTATCCAAACCAGCACCACCGGTATTATTAGTTACACGTCCGACTGTATCAAAATTCCATTCTGTACTGTTATTCTTTTTTTTTTTTATTTAAAAAAAATTAATTAATTAAATAAAGTTATTAAAATTCTTCTTATTTTACAAAAATTTAGATCAGATCAGATCAGACTTTATCATTATCTTCGATCTCTCTCCTCCCCTTGACAAATTTTATACTTACTTGACAATAGATGCTTTCATAAGGGCAAACTAAGCTCTATAAGTTGACGAAAGTTAAAGATTCTATTGTAAGGACCAAGTCCCCTAGGTGAATCCTACATCTATACCTGCCCCCTTGGTTTAAAAGCATCAAACATCCGTTTTTTCTCTCAATTTTTTAGTCACAATAAAACCTCCCTGGTAGGATTGTACACCATTTGACTCCCTGGGATCTTGGAACTTATGTATGCACCATTAGTTTGGAGTCAGGATCTTCCAACTTCCATAGGTAGGAACCTCCATACCCCGTAACACAGTTTAAGCTTCGGCCTGACACAATAATGCCTTGTTGGAAGAAAGTTAGGGGCGGCCAAACCAAAACATGGCAGAAATCCATGAAGTCATTGACGAGTGGACTTAGCCATGTCGGTAACTGTCGACTACCTGGTTGGGGTCCGCGAGATGATAATAATCGATGGTTAGAGACCTTGAATGACATGGCTCAAAATCGTTCGCAATGGCGCCGGTGCATTTATTCCTTGTGTTCTCTCAAATCCTAATCTTCTGGATTCTACAACACCTCTAGTTTCGACTATCTAAACTTTTCTCACTGAATCATACTTGTTGAATAATATCTTCTCATCCTAACCTCTCCGATTACTTTTAATACCCTTACTAACTCTTCTACTATTGGATTTGAATTGACAATTACATCTCTGTGTGCTGATGTGGTATGGCGACATGAACTGATGTACTTACGTACGAAGTTCTACGTTGCAACTGACTGACTGACGTAAGCAACACCTCAACCACAAGAAGGCAGTGAGTAGGACTCCCTAGTCTATGACTATATACATGTGGCTACAAGAAAGCATTTGGGAAGAGAGAGAGCAAATTCTCCTTACTTCCAGGTTGTACCATGGCATAAATAATCACTTATAGTAAGAGGGAGTGACATGAAACAAATAAATTTTCATGTCTTCTTCAAATAATCAACTGATTAAGTCAAAAGTCAATAAATAACAGAAGACTACCAGTATGTCTCTTACCGCCCCCAATGAAATCCGACTAACAACATAGTGAAATGCTTTTAACATTTAGAAGTGTACCACCACACACAATGTCAGGAACAACAACAACAACAACAAAATGAAATAGAATCTTGTTGTTATAGCCAAACGAATATTGTAAATGATGGAACCGGTCTTACGAATTATTTATCAATCACAATTTCGTTATGATATGGTTCAGTCTGCTATGTCTAGATATAAACCATGTGTCCGGTTAAAATATATAAGTGTACCGTAGACACTGGTTAACTATTAGAAAATATAGTGTCAATAGTAGTAAGGTTTGAGTTTTTTCTGATGTTGATAGTAAGGACTGAACTTTAATCAGCCTTCAATTGGCACATGTACATCCTGTGTGTGTGTGTGTGGGTAAAGCTAGTTGGTGACATATTTCATTGAACAGATCAATTGTAGGTAAGAATATATATAATCTAGGGACCGCGTTTTATCCTATTAGAGACATAGTGGAACAATTCAGACATTTTCTACTAGTTGAACACGTTAGCGGCTCTCTGGAATCAGTGAATGTCCGTCGCACTAATAGAAGGAAACGTAGGCTCTGTCTGGATTAAACTGAATGTCAAAGTTTATTTGTTCTGATGTGAACATACTTGTTAGTCAGTAGAAGAGAGAGATGAAGTATGCAAGCACATATATAACACACACATACCTTAGGATCACGTTTTTCTGATCGATCATCTGGATGTTTATTGACACGAGCAATAGGAGGTGGCATTTCACCGCCAAGTAGAACACGACAAAGTAAATCTCGATCCTGAATAATAATAATAATAATAATAGTAATAATAATGACATCAACAACAATTGAGTTTGAAATAAATAGGATAAATAATGAAGTTTGCATTACGGGGTTGTGAAAATTGGTGAGTTACACATTTTTTTGAAACCATGAATCGATCAAGTTAGACATTAACACTGTTAGATACCGGCTCAGTGGTCTAACGGTTGGGGCGTTCTCGCACAATACCGAAGGTCCTGGGTTCGAATCCCGCAGAGTGCAGGAGTCGTGGATGCGCACTGCTGAGGAGTCGCAAACCAGGACGAAACGGCCTTCATTCAGTGCTTCCAGGTTTCTAATGGTGGTCTAACATTGATTGATTCATGGTGTTTTCAAAAATGTGTAAGCTTAACAATTCATCCACAACCCCGCTAATGCAAATTTATCCTGTGCCTCAACTAGTGACTAGCTTAGTGAGGGATCTTCTCCGAGTTCTAGTGGGACAGACTGTGTACCAAGGTGAAGTTCAAACCTGTTCGGGGGTAGGACAGTACGTACCGAAGACGCTGTAATAGGTTGCGCAACTCCGTGAATTAGATCAAGTTTAGACCATTAACACCGTTAGATACCAGCTCAGTGGTTCAAAGGTTAGGCCTGGGTTTGAATCCTGCGGGGTGCAGGAGTCGTGGATGCGCACTGCTGAGGAGTCCCATACTAGGACGAAACGGCCGTCCAGTGCTTCCCGGTTTCTAATGGTGGTCTAACATTGATCGATTCATGGTTTCAAAAAATAATGAAGTATTGCAAAAGTGAATGTGTTTCAAGCAGCAAGAAACAGTCGACTTCCATAAACAAAGCTGTACCTACCTACACACAACTGAAAGTGAATTCAACTTTGAACAGTTTTGGTTGGTGCATGTGCATCCATTGTTTGTGTTCGCTCAAATCATAACCTTCTGGATTCTTATCTTTGTCTTTTTAAGTTTATTTCACTATATTATACTCTTTGAATGATATTTTCAAACTCTAATCTCTCCGATTACTGCTAATAACATCAAGACATCTACCACTATGGGGTTCGAATCAACGATTGCGTCTCTGTGCTAATGTGTGGTACGGCAACCTGAACTGATGTACGCACATACGAAGTTCTACGTTGTAGTTAACTGACTGACATAATTATTCATGAAGTTTTCTCTAGGTCAGACTACTACTACTACGGACGGCAGTACAGCGACATCAAAGTGACTTTGAGAAAACTCGCCTATTCACTAAAGTCCAAATACGGTTGGTTATATAAATTAGTTTGACGGCTCGGTATTGAGATTTAAGGAGAGAAGTTGGGGTTAGTGATTATCGTTAGGACTATCGATATCAGCTAATAATGCCGAAATGAGACTCATTCACTTGAATCTGATTGGTCCGTCCATGAATTTATAGTCAAGTCCATATTGTAATAATAATAATAATAATAATAATAATAATAATAATAATAATAATAACAATAATAATAATAGTAATACTTCAATGTTGGATTACCTTTGCTTTCGATTTAATATAAGTATGACTAAGTAATTCACGGGCAGATAACCGTTGAGCTGGATCTTTCATAAGGCAGGCTTTAGTAAATTTACGAAATTTATGCCCATAATTTAAATATTGATTATTGACTGTAGCAACACTGTCAATATCTGGTGAATCATTTTGTAATGTAAGCATTAATACCTGATTGGATTTTTTTTTAAAAAAGAAAAATGGAAATTTGAAACGAATATGCGGATGATGATGATAAGAGAAAAACAAGAGAGAAACCATGCAAAACGCATAATCAATCATCAAATGCAAATAGCTTAGATGTTTGGTCGATTAGTCTTAAAAAGAGAGAGAGAAAACACTCACTTTACAAGTGGTGCACGCCACTTATAAGTAGTATATGACGCGAGTGTCAACGTAATGTCTGACAGCAGAAGATGGGGGAAGATCAACAAAGGAAGAGTGGGAACACAATGGAATTTGTATGAAACGCATGAATAAGTGAAATGTCAGACGATGGATTGAAGATTTGCAAATTAACGGTTACGATATGGTTTTCCTATTTTACTGAGTAACTCTGTAATTCGCGATGAATACATTTCGGTTGCCCTCACCTGTGTTCTCCTTCACTACACAAGGATATGCTTGAAACTATTACGAGTTCGTCTTACTCGGTAAACGAGAGCGAAGACAATTGATCCAGTGACACGATAGGCTAATCTAATCCGATTGTCCCCGGCTGCGCTATGATAAGAAGTCTTGATAAGGCTTAGAAAGTGTATTCTACAAACACTCAGAAAATATGAGGTTGACAAGCACACAAATCAAGTTTATTTATACAGCATAGAAGAGAGCCACAAAAATAGCGTACTAAAATACTCCATAGATCAATGACAGTCAAGGATTTTTCAGGTGGGAAATGTAATCTCAAGGTTAACTGAGCAGCTTATGCGCGGACACATGAAAATAGAAATCCAAAATTAGGATCTTTTCCAAGTGAAATCTAGGGATGTCGAGTCCCCAACAGTATGCTATGGATTAAATCTTTATGATATGGGACAGTTTATCGAAAAGTAGAAAAAAAATAGTTACAATCTAACAACTACTTCTTAGCATAAAACAAAATTAAGTAAATGAACCCAAGGGACGTGTGCGGTATGTGTACTTTTATATGTTGTGTGTAAAAATCGAACCGTTGGATGTCGTCTTGATAGCCAAAAGCTTAAGTAATTAATTGCACACGATACCGAATGTCTTGCTTGAGCTCGATTTTCAAGTGCAAGGGGGGTGGTGGTGGGTGCTCACTTTGAGAAGTCCCACACTAGGACTAAACGGTCGTCCAGTGCTACCCAGTTCATAATGGTATTATTTTACCCTGGATTATTTCGTGATTTCAACTACTGATAGTAGTAAGAGTTTAAATGATGTGAAACACTTAACAATTTCGGCATATAACATTGTTTAATTGACTTATTCGTATATATGTGCCTTATTTTCGTCCTCTTATTTGATTTGACTTTGACCAATTTGGTCTCGTGTGCTGTTACGGGTATGAGGGCAGTTGTCACTTCCCGGCTGCCCACACCGTGGAAGGTTGTTTCTTGAGGGGCCTGAAAAGGAACATAGATTAGTGTTGGTCTTGGAGACCTGGGAGCGTGACCGCAGAGTCCAAGGGACAACTGCTTGAGGCCGGTCACGCACGGCCTTTTTATGAAAGGTTTTTTGAGGATTAGCTTCGCTCGTAAAGGCCCTTAGTGGGCACCCTTACCACCGGAGATGGAAATCCGTGAGGTAGGGTGAGGTGTGACATTTTTAGGGTCGACCTCTTTTAACCCCTTTCTTCCTTGTGAAAAGGCAGTATGGCTGCAGATGCTGGTTATCCGAGGGAAACACCTTACTGCTGTCACAGCCCTCTGCAGTCAGCAGTACGACTTTGCCCTCAGACCATGGGTAGCTGCTTTTAGTCTGATCGCTCTCCAATCGACCATTCTGGCATGGTAGAACCTAAAAGAACATATGTTCCAGCCAATATAGCTCGGTTGGGTCATCACGATAGGCAAGCCCGACCACCACGTCAAGGTAGCAGCTTCGGTCGGGTTCGCCCTCTTATAACACATCAGTTTAGTAATTCATAAAAAAAACTGTATGGTATTTTTTTTATTGGTAAATAATAAGAATCTCATGCAAAAATAAAGTAAAATATGGAATGAAACTTACCTTCATTGGGGCGAATTTCGCATAAGGCGCTTGACCAGTTGCCATTTCAATGGTTGTAATACCTAATGACCATATATCTGCTTTCTGGTTGTAACCTCGAGCCTGGAAATAATAAAAATTACATCATTCTATTGAATTGGAATTATAATCAGAAGAAATTAGTCAGTCAGTTCGTTAGAACTTCGTACGTATGTACCATAAGTTCATGTTGCCATGCCACATTAGCACAGCGACGCAAATGTCAAATCGAATCTCATAGTAGTAAAGATAGTAGAAGTATTAGCAGTAAAGGAGAAGATTATGGTTCAAAGAGATGATTCAAGAAGTATAATTCAATGAAATAAGTTTAGAAAGAGAAAGGTAAGGGTGTTGACAAAATCCAGAAGATCAGGATTTGAGAAACGACAAAGAGTGGATGCACCGGCACCATTGAAAACGATTTTGAGACATGTCATTTCAAGTCTCTAACCACGGTGGCTCGTCTCGCAGACCCCAAT